ACATGGGAGGAGAAAGAATTGCCCGCTAGTTGGTTGGATGGTCTCGTTTGTCCCCTCTACAAAAAGGGACACAGACTGAAGTGCGCCAATTAAAGAGGAATCACGCTCCTGAATTCGGCGTACAAAATATTATCACGTGTTCTGTTCAACAGATTGAAACCGCTTGAGGAATCCTTCGTCGGCGAATACCAGGCTGGTTTTCGTGAGGGTCGATCAACGACGGATCAAATGTTTACCCTGCGTCAAACCCTTGAGAAGTTCCGGGAATACAACTTGCAGACTCATCATTTGTTCATAGATTTCAAGGCAGCGTACGATTCAGTAAAGAGAAACGAGCTATGGCAGATAATGCAAGAAAACGGTTTTCCGACGAAACTAATTAGGCTTATTCGTGCAACGCTGGATGGTTCGAAATCATGTGTACGGGTTGCAGACGAGATTTGGGCCTCGTTCGTGACCTCAGATGGGTTGAAGCAGGGAGATGCTCTTTCGAACTTGCTATTCAACATCGCCCTCGAAGGAGCAATTAGGAGAGCTGGCGTGCAGAGGAACGGTACCATCATCACAAAGTCGCACATGCTCCTTGGTTTTGCGGACGACATCGACATCATCGGAATCGACCGTAGAGCAGTGGAAGAGGCGTTCACGCCTTTTAAGAGGGAGACAGCGAGGATTGGTCTCACGATAAATTCTACCAAAACGAAGTACATGGTCGCCGGTAGAAAGCGTGGGAGCAATAGTGGTGTTGGTAGTGAAGTGGTGCTAGGTGGCGAAAAATTTGAAGTTGTGGACGAATTTGTTTATTTTGGTACTTTAGTGAAAAGGCGTATTGCAGCCGCGTAAGAAATAGGAGATATTAATTTCTTCTACTCGACAAAAATATGTATTTCAACAAGCCCTAAAAATCATCCGAAGAAGCCTTTCCCGGAAAAATAAAACTACAAAAGTTAGAGCTAAAAATCTGCGTTTTTTAGGACCACCCATAGTCAATTCAGAACAAATGTTTCTTCGGCAAAATAGCTTGAAATCATCTTAGCTACAACGTTGTAAATAAAGACATGCATTTTTATTTTCAAAAATTAAAAAGTTAGTTTTATCTATAACAATAATTTGACGACCACCCTAATTTTGAAAAAGTCCAAATAAAAAAAGTCAATTATAAATTATATCTTTTGAATATTGCATTGCATAAGAACCTGCATGATCAACTTCACTCCAAAGTTGAAAAATTGCATTTTTAATCTATGTTTAAATCTTCAAATAAAATACAATTGGAAAAGCATTTGCAAGTACAGGTTTGAGAGTTATTTGTGTGTGTGCCAAAAATATGGTTGTGATAATATTTAGGTTTATTTTTTTTATTTTTTTATTGATTTATTTAATAAGGCTCAACCGAATTAACTTTACAGAGCCGAGGATTCTTGGTCACTATACAATACATCTTAAAACTATAGTCAAAAGGTACAACACAATAAATACTTTATCTTCCGCTATCCAAAAAGCCTCCTCCATCAGAACTGGAGCCGCTTCCAGTGGTTTCATTGTATGGCAAATTGTTGTACGCCAACGAGGGTCAGAGCGCGTCCATTGCAGCAATGGACGCAAAACGTGGTCTGCACTCACACACTCATCACGAAACGGTTGCTTTCCAAAGTCGACGACGCATCGACCGAAAGAACTGCTGATGAAGAACAATGAGGAGGACCACACAATGGTTGCTGCCGAGAAAACAGACGATCGCGTAGCACACATCGAGAGTGGCCTGCTTTTGTCGATAGCCGAGTGAACACTGTATATTTAGGTTTATCGATAAAAAGTTATCAACCTACCCCCGTTTTACGGTACCAACAACAAAATTAAAAATTGATCGAAAGTTGTTGACCTACGATTTTAATAAATGTTTAAGCGTCCGAGGTTCTCAATATTTAAAAAAGCTTGCGTTTTTTCAAAAGCTTTAAAAAAATAAAAATATTGAACAAGCACAGTGTTTGCTATGTTTTAGAACCTAGCATATACTTTGATGATCACCTTTTAAAATTTCAGCTATTTAAGGGCAGCTGTAATGGACATAAATTCACTGCGACTGGTAATCAATTCTGAATTTAAGTACAACCAATTTTATTAGCAGGTTAATTTTTATTTAATTTTCTTGAGCTGTGATGAATTTAGAAAATGTTTGTGGATATCATATTTTTCATAGATTTGTGTCTCTTTTCTAAGAGGAAGAGGAGACAATAAGGTGACTTTTATGAATCAATTTTTTGCCGAAGGCAAACCAGCACCTGATTGGCCGGGTGAACGTATAGAAACGCGAAACAACGGCCCTTATTACGGTTCTCACTTCCACGTTCACTTTCACTTCACGCACACATCACTTCACTTGTTTTTACCTATTACCGCTGTCACATACAGTGAAGTGATGAAAATGAACTCCGTGAAGTGACAGTGACAGTGAGGTGATGTTCGGAATAGCCCTGTTCATTTCTCGTGACGTTCGTATTCGACTGCAAAGAACTGTCACGTGTTTTGTTTTGAAAATCGACGGAAATTTCCTTGCAAGTAATGTTTTTTTTTTTGAAAATGAGTGTGAAATTATGGTTTGATACCGACAGTGAAGACGAGGAGGAATTTTCCAATCTTGCTGTAGATCGAAGGCAGGTAAGGGATAATTCTAATCCGTTGGATCAAACCGAAAAATCGTAAGTATATGGAAATAGATTACTAGCTAAAATGAACGTGTATTTCGAAACTTACAAACTTCATATACATTTTCCAGTTTCATTCAATTCTTCAGAATATCCAAGGAGATTTTCAAATACCTACTGGAGATAATCGATGCAAAAATCAATCCAGTACAACTGTCCACGTCAGTGCCTCCAATGATCATGCTGGCAGCTTCGTTGAGGTTTTTTCTGCAGAAGGCAACTACCAGAAGGGCGTAGGTAACGATAGATTTATCGGATTAGCACAACCAATGATGTCTAAAGTGCTGCAACTTGTGTTGGACATTATTGAAACTGAAGTGTGCCCAGCTGTAATCCAGTTTCCATTCGAAGAAAGAGAAACAAATGCGATTAAACTGGATTTCTGCGAGAAAACTGGATTTCCCGGAGTAATCGGATGCGTAGATGGAACCCACGTAACAAGGCCGGCGCACAATGCATACGTTTTCGGGTTTTTTGACAGATAATGCATGGGCTAACTGTCAAAAAACCTGAAAACGTATCTATTGTGCGCCGGTCTTAAGCATCATCCCTCCGGCTCGCGATAAACACCTGTTTTACAACCGTAAAGGCTTTTACAGTCTGAATGTTATGTTGGTAAAGTAGAAACAAGGTTTTAGATCTCATTAATTTTATTCATGCAAATATTTGACAATTTACAGGTTTGTGATCATAACTTGATGATTCGGTATCTCGATGCCAACCACCCGGGCTCCTCCCACGACTCTTTTGTATGGAATGGTAGATCGCTGAGTCAGTGGCTTGTACAAAGGTTCGACAATAGGGAGAGGAACTCCTGGTTACTCGGTAAGAATAGAGTTATTGAGCGTATTGAAATACTGTCAAAATTCCTTCTTCTTAGTGGAAAATATGTCAAAATTTTCTGATTTGTCTTCAACTTAGTGTTTCATGATTTCAACAGTTTTTAAATTTATATAACAGGCATGGAAAATAAGGAAATCTCTAAAGTTTTCTGGACGTCAGCCAATTGAATCTATAATATCCAGAGTTGTATCATAGAGGTAACTCTAAGACTAGTAGGTCCCGAAGAAACGTGCTCAACCTTTTGACTCAGCTCTGGTACTATCTTCGGTCGCAAGCTAATCGATGCACCCCTCGAAACATGGTAAAATCCACGAACCCCTCATTTTGTCCTATCATATTACCTCTATGGTACGACTCCTTGCTGTTGGAATCTTGACTATGTTTCGATGGTGCAATTTTGATTCATTTTAAAGATTCTGGAGCTTATTTTATTATCATTACAGGTGATGCTGGCTACCCTTTGACACCATTTCTCATCACTCCGCTTCGTACGGGTACAAATACCACTGAACGGCAGACCAGGTTCAACGAAATTCATTCCAAAACTCGAATCACGGTGGAAAGAACAATTGGAGTGGCCAAGAATACCTTCCGATGCTTATTAGGAGCAAGACAGCTGTATTATAAGCCTGAAAAAGCTACGCAGATTATAAACGTTTGTGTTGCCCTACATAATTTACGCATGAAGCATAAAATGGATTACGACGAGCCAGAACTACCAGATGGAGAAGGGGAGGCAGAGTTGCGTGGTGTTGACAGGAATCAAAATGTTGCAATTAGAAGCAGAGAAGAAATCATGAACAATATTTTGTAAACAGCCATGTTGTTTTATGTATCATAGTAATAAAACTTGAATTTATCCACCAATGCGCAGTGAGACAGAAATTAAATTCAGCAACTTCTCATAAAATGTTACGTTCTACAACATGACAACATGTTGATGATACCTTTCATTTGGTGGTTGTTGCATCCAATTCAGCTCAGTGGTTGCCGAGAAACATGACTCATTTTACCAGTAAGACTTTTTCGTTACACAGAGGAGCTGTTTATAAATTACAGAGACACTTAAGATTTGGCGATTGTCTGCGGTCCATAAAAATCTTCAAAAAGTTGGATTTTCAAGCGGTATGATATGATGTAGAAATAAATTTAAAAAAAAATGTATATTTTGAATGAGAAATGGATTCCAACTTACTTAAAGGACGAGCATTCATTGTAAACTTGTATGTCTTCAAAACAACGACGCTATAATATTGAAGATTTTTTATTGAGTAAAGACATTATTTAGGAAAGTAAAATAAAAACAGTGATAGTGATTAATGACTCATCGTCACTATCGTCCCGTTCCGCCTCTTCGTAATCATCTTCAGCATTAGTACTGCCAGTTGTTTTCCGCCCCATCTTAAAATCGAGTTTCTGCTTCTTATATTTAGCTCAAAATCGAGTTTCTGCTCAAATCTCAAAATCGAGTTTCTGCTTCTTATATTGTAGCTGCTGACTTTTATGCTTCTGCTTTTCGAGCAGCATTTGCTTGTTGAAGTTGATTTTCTCCTCGTCCAGCTGAAAACGCTTCATTTCTAACTCAAACCGCTTCTTGTGTAAATCGTACGATTTACGCGAATATCGAGCACAATCCGATACATGCAGCTTCATCTTGCTGAGATCGTCGGTCTGCTTTTCGAGGAGATTTTTTCTATAATTTTGTTTGGTCGCTCGACCACGGCCGCTCGTAGCTGGCTGACCTCTTCCATCCTCACGGGTTACACTATCATGCGTTGGCTGATCTTCCGTTACCCTAGGTTCCTCGATAGGATCTTCGACGCAACGGTCCGCTTGGCGTTCACCAATTGCGGATGGACTAGGTGATGATTGCGTTCCAAAAACAGAACCTATGTTTTCGAAAAGAGGATGTTATAGCGAATTCGTTTATTATCGGGGTTAACACCAGTTCCAACCCAGTGCGAAACCGAACTTTTTGTCAGTGTGAACCGCAACCTGAGCTAGGTTTTAAAAACAAACGAGCAAACTGACGTTTGCCAGAAAACAAGTAGACCCAATCTTGATACCCGATCCAGGTTGGAACTGAATAATAAACGAATTCGCTATTAGTTATGGTAGAAAATTTTGTAATAGTTCATCATTTTACCATTGTGGTTGACCGCTCTCTCTAGTGAAAGGAGACGAATGATAGTTTCTTGCAGATCGTTGATCGAATATAGAGTATTTGCCGACATCCACGCCCCCCCCCCCCCTCCAGTGCCCGTCAACTCGTTTTTGTTATGCTGCAACTTCCGTTTCAGTTGCAGCTTTTTGTCGGTCCAAACCTAAAAGCAGAAATCAGAAAAATACACATGAATAACAAAATGATAACTGCCGAAAAGTTGGGGGTTTGGTCTAGGGTCCATTCTTATATTTCATTAGAAACACCCGATTGCAGCAAATAAATGTGAAGACGAAATAAAACAACCAAAAGCACGCCAACTTACCTTCTGCCACGCTGCAACGGAATGAGTGGGAGGACCAAAACTGTTCAGCGAGTCCGATTCCCACGAATTCAAATTCTTACTTCCTCTGGCAATGTCGGGATTTTCCTCCATAAATGCCACAAGGCAGGCAAATTGTCGCTTGTTCGTCTTTTTCTTCCTGAAAGTTGAAAAAAACTCGAAATATAAGTAAAAAAGTAGAAGGGTCTGTGCCTAGGGGCACGAACGGAAGCTTGACGTAGGACCGCTAGTGGACGGAACAAATGTGAACATTTATTTCTTTTAATTGATCAATCATCAATTATCTTAACTCTTTCCGTTTTTTATTTGAAAGCGTATCAAATTTGTAGTATTGAAATATTGAAAGAGAAAGTTGATGAAGAGAATCCAAGGAACTGTCAACTTGAGTATTTTCGATTCATCTACCCGATTTTAAAAGGTGCATTTTGATTTTTTTGTTAGTTATGAATTTTTAAGTTTTGTGCATTTCGGTATTGAAGTGTATTCACTTCACCCCTCACAGGATTTCCTTCCAAATTTTATGAATGGGGCGGGCGGAAAGTATCGTTTGTGCAGATTATGTAAAAAAGGAGGAAGTTCGAGAGATTGAACTCGTGAGAGCTAATTTTCTCACAAATTTGATTTTATTGGCTTTCTGGGGACTGAACACCCAAAGCGAATTATTCCCACTTCTCTCAAATTCTATATGGATTTTTAACACTTCCTACCAGCGTGTTCTGGAAAATGGTCGGACGATGATTAATCTCACCAATACATTCGGGCCTACAATTCCACATCTTATATAGAGACCAGGTTGAGCCTTGATAGCTAGCTGCTTGCGGGAACTGATGACCTTGACAAATGTCCAAATAATACTCTTAACAAATTTATGGTGGAAAAGGACCGTTTTGTAGTGATGATTGAGTAATTCTGAGCTGGGTGTTCAACACGGATGAGGCTGTCGAGCTGTATGTCGTTTGGAGCGAGGGTGACACGCTTGGCATAGATGACCGACCCGCAGCGACTCACAATGAGCTACTGATTCCGATCCATAGCATAGTGGTGCAGCTTCTTCCTCCTTTGATGGTTGCTTATGTGGGCTCTGCAGCTCGCTGCTTGCAGGCAGCCTTTCGTTGTTACTGGAGAACAATTTTCAACACCACACGCCGAAAGCACTGCTACTAATTTCGACGACCGAACACCACCACACAGTGGTGTGGTAGTTGGGAGCGTGTGGTTCTGAGTATGGCGATGAGTATGCAAAATATTACGCAATTCCATCCTCCCTATTTGCACGCGCCCGAGGATCGGAGGTGAATTCCGCTTCGACTTGTTTCGTCTACTTACTACTCTCTGACGACTGTGCTGGGGAAGCAGCATATGTACATGTAGGTAATTGGTGGATTTGTTAGTTAATTCAACGCTTTTGAACAAAGCTGGACATTCACCAGTTTTTCAATAGTTTCTTGTTGAAAATCAACATTCGGAAGCATTGTTAACTATGCGTAGCCATATTTCTGATCGATTGGTGATAAAATTATTGAAATTGGACCAGGGGCAGCTGAGTTATTAACGTTCAAAATCTTTCTTAATTTGTTACATGTTCCATTTTCGGTTTTCACAAAGTGTACCCCCATATAGAAATCAAAGACGTAGTCCTACGTCAAAAGCAACAAAACAATCAAAATTTAAACTTACTCCATTTTTCGTGACTGCTTTTCACCTTTGAAAACTAATGTCGTTTTCGTTTTTGCGGTGTAGCTGCCCCGGTGCTACACTGCCGTACACCGAAATATTTTAGGGTGTAGATATAGGATGCACCTTTGTTTACAAACAAATGATGTTGAGCTGTCAAAGGCTCGCGCTTATTCCTGCTTACACTACACCAGTGCTACACCGCAAAAACGAAAACGACATAAGATGAAAAAAATCCACGGGAAGTGTCATTCTTTCACCGAAAACACGGTGACGTGGCAACCATAATAACTCCGAGTTCATCCATGTTGTCACTTCGGATGAACTCTTTCACATTTTATCACTAGGGTGACTCCCATAGTAAGCTTGTGCTCACTTCACTTCGTTTTCACCGTGAAGTGACACCCGTAATAAGGGAATCTATTTTCTTGTATTTTGACAGTCGACTGCGTCGCCCATAATGAAATAGTTTCTGCGCTGTCTTTTCCACAAGAGAATAAAAACACGTCACAGACAAAAAGAAGCCAGTTAGCCAGAAGAACTCTTAGGCTGTGAACCATTTGCCGAGTTAAATTTAACTCATGGTTAAAAGTGACATTTCGAAAGTTATTTTCTATGTTCGAAAATCCCTGTGCTGTCGATCGACCGGTTTTCGAGAAGAACTCAGCAAAAGTTGTCAAAATTTAACTTCTTGTCTATCAGAAGTAACCAAGCTCGGATAGCAGGGTCAATCAATAACTTTCCATCTGTCAAATTTTAACCAAAAGTTAAAATAATCCACCAAATGGTTCAGAGCCTTAGGTCTTTTGAAAATAGTTGCATTCAATGTTGGTGTCATTTGAAGACAAAAGGAGGAAAAATGCGATCGCGCAAAAAAACAGAATCGTGTGTTATTGTTATATAAAAAATAAATATCGAATAAGTGTCTTCTTTGTTCATCTTTAACAACAGACGGTCGAGAACTAAAAGTGCGATCGTGCAAAAAAAAAGAATCGGGTTTATTGTTGTATCATAAATCAATATCGCATAAGTGTCATCAACCTGGGGATATAATAGACAGGTAGGGTAAAACGGTCAGGTACTTTATTCGTCAGGAAAATGTTTTTTGAAATGACGCCAGAGAGGCAGCTCCCACACCTGGACCCTATCTATCGACCCATCAACTCATGAACCGGGTACCAAATGCTTTACTGAGACGTGATCAGATATGTTATGCCTCACCGACTGGGATTGAACCCAGGCCAGCTGGGGTGAGAGGTAATCACGCTTACCACTACACCACCGGCGCCGCTAGGAAAATGTTAAATATCACTGATTTGATCACCCTTATTTCCAGCTTATTTCATGACAATCGTGATTGCCTAAAACTAGTAAATGATGCAACAACTTACAAAAGGTTGATGCCATCCTCAAAATGCGTTCTGATGACAAAGAATACACTTATTTTCAATATAAGCAACATCAATCTTCTTAGGATGCAATTTTTACCCCCACTACATATATTGGAAACATTTCGGAAAGTTTGATCACATAACAATAATAGATCAAAGAGAAAATCGATGAAGAGAATTGATCATTGCAGATAGGCCCTTATGATTCTGTCTAATTTTTAGACTAACATTTCAAAATGTCCTATCTGCTTTGATCGATTCTCTTCATCGACTTTCTCTTTCGTTAATAACTGAACTGCAAAAACATTCCCTGTTGTATATGACATTCTGGATGCTAAATGAGAACCTCCTTTATCAAACCTTGTCAAAAACGAAAGTCGATGAAGGGAAACGATCAAAACAGATTTGACCTTTTCAAATGTTCATCTAGATTTAGTAACAAATCGATCATCGTGCAACGTACTGCAGCGCCGATGATGTAGTGGTAAGCGTGATTACCTCTCACCCCAGCAGGCCTGGGTTCAATCCCAGTCGGCGCCGCTGAGGCATAACATCATGAGCTGATGGGTCGATAGGTAGAGTCCAGGTATGGGAGCTGCCTCCCTAGCGTCGGTAGCATTGGTGCTCAGCACGGAAAATGGGTTTGTTTCATTTTTCACGCATTGGTCAGTCCATGTCCAGTGTCTACACGAGAAAAAATCCGTTCCGAATTTCGTGAACCTCAAGTCACGAATATTGGAAAAGTAATTTTTTCGATTACGAAAATACACCATGAATAAAAATCATGAAATCGTGAACCTTGTTCCACAAAATAACCAAACACAGTCATAGAATCTTGAACTCTGTTCTGAAAATCATGATCTAGTTTTGGTAAACGTGATTTATGTTCATGAGTTGTTCTTGATATCGTGAACCTGTTCTCGAAAACAGCAACATGGTTCAGGAATCTAAAATGTCAACATTAAAATAATGTTCAATATTTTTATGGAGTGCCGAAGTGGAAGAAAAACTACGGAAGACTTGATGCAGGTTAACTCACATCTAGCAGCAGGCATCTGTCCGGCAGATGGAATGGACACACTTTCAGCTCAACAAATTAACACCACCTTCGAATTCTATTGGAGCGGCGGGAACAAGAACCCATGTTGCGTTAGGTTATGCTTTTCTTCGAGGTTTACGGTCAGTTTGATGATACGGCTCAGCTGCATTCACTAATAATCAACACACTATTCTCGACGGATCCGAGCATTTTGTATGGATAAATTCAACAACAACTGAAATTGACAGCCGCAGTTTTGCATGTGTTCCAGGTTCATGATTTCACAAACGAAAATCACGCTTATGAGTTTATGGATCAAGAAAATCATGATTTTAAATACTAGAAGCTCACATGCAGTGAGTGAATTCTGATCTTATCAGCAGCCAAAAGATCTCGACTTCATGTATAAATTTTCCGAAGGCACTTTCTATATGAGCATGATCACGTGATGTTCCAAATATAATTTGTGGACTCTTATATTACTGAAATGTTACCAACAAAGATCATAGGTTGCATATTTATGTGCATCATATTTAACAGAAACTTTTTCGAACTGTGTATTTATAAAATTGTGAAGCACTTTTGATAAAACAGTAGTTCTTTTTTTTCATTTAAAGTAAGGGTCTGATTTAGGTGATCACGTCCAAAACTTCTCAATTTTCCGGAAAGTCTAACAAAAATATTGAATACGATTAGTGCTAAGTATAAGCAAAATAAAAACATTTGAGACAAGCTGACGAAAAGATAAATATTTCATATAGGTATACCCAATCCTCTAAACTGGCGCTTGATCAGAAATCACACCTTGCCCTTGCGTGACGAGCGCCGATCGAATGAATTCAACAAATTGTTTTCCGCCACCTTCATCGAATGCCTTTATAGGAAACAACGGATCTAATCAGTCATCACAGCACATATAGCTATAGGGTATCATTTGATGGCTTCACGCTATGATTCCCCCCGGGGAGGTGTTTCCATGTTCAGTGTTCCAAACATTATTCGGTGGACCCCAACCCAGCCGACGAGAATCGTGACTGGCATCTCCTCCGAGCAGCAGCAGCGAAAATCAGGCAACTGGAACTCCGATCCAACCGACAGGGGTCAATTTAATAATCACTAGAGCTGGCCTGACCTGAAGTTGGTGTATTCCTACCCAGGGCCAAGCGATTCACACTGGTCTCAGCTGAAAAAGAAGGCTCGTTTGACTCCCGGGGGGATCCCAGCGTACAAATCGCAGTGGGTACTGCTTGCCGGCTGGCGGAAAGAACGTAAACATAATGTGTACACAAATCTTCCCAATCAACGGCGAACCTGACGGAGACCGAGCCGGTTGGTCGTGGATGTTACCTGTTCAACAAAGTGCGAGCTCTTGCTGCAGCGAGTTGCATGGATTTTAATGATGGCTATTCTTTTATGCTAATTTATGAGTTGATTATTTTCATGCTAGGGATCAAGCACTGTTTGTGGGACACATCGAGAGAGAGACAAACTTGTCGGTGTCAGTTTATGCTTCGATTTGGTTGAAACGAAACAACTGTTTGCTTCAAGCGGTACGAACTGATCAGATGGCATGCAAATGGGAGTCGGTTCTGCTCCAGCAGCGAGGATCGTCGCGCACTATTTGTGTGGTTGAACATGACGAGTCGCATGAATAAATAGATAAATATTCTCCACTTGCAAATGACTCTATTCAGAGTAGCTGTGATTAGTGCGCGGTAGACTGACTATATATGTAAGTGGTGGCAAGGGTCTTAAGGACCTGGGCCGAGTAGGGGTGGGGGAATCGTAAGTTTTAGCTTCAAAGTGGAACGCTAATGATCTGCTCATTAGAAGTTTATTGAATCATTAACATCAAACACAGGGGATGTTGTGGTAGAACTTTGGATCGGTCGCCAGTTGAGGACTTGTCTGTAGTAACCAGGCGATTCAGCCGCCGCCGACTGATTTATGTTCGAGCAACGAAATTGGCACAGTCACGATACTGCTGCACGTGGTTTGTTGTCCTATGAAATGTCAAACTCGGAGGTGATTGAATGTTGCTCAATCGTACACGAAGCGGGGCCAAAATTGCCTCCGGTTGTCAATTTGTTATGGGTGATTTTCTCTAGAATGTTTATATGCCGTCCGGACCCTACGTTCGTATTATTTATGTGTAATGCATAGCCATAAAATTTCAATTGCTTTTATGTCACTTTTGACTAGAAATCATTAAGCAAAACTAATCTAGCATAGGAGACAGCAACCATACCGCTAACGCTGAGGGTCATTGGGGGTATAGTAATGAAAACCCAAAAATGTTCTCAATTGAATATAGTAGGGGAGAACAGTACATAACGCACCCCCGGGGTAAGACGCACTTTTTCATTTTGTTTTTAGTTTTTCTTGGAATTTTTAATCCAATTCTAGGATTTATCATGCAGGATTTTTAATTCAGATGCTATGCTAGAAGTGCTGCTTGATTAGACAACAAAATAGTTACGTTAAAGCCATGAAAAACACAAATGAAAGTCAGCTGGTGCGTTCTGCCCAGGGGGTGCGTTGTATACCATTCTCCCCTATGGTATTTTTCACCGCGGAT